AAAAAACCGCAGCGGCGTTAGTGCCGGCGTTGCGGCGGCGGCGGCAGCAAGAACAAAATGGGGCCGGTAACAAGGCCTCTCTGGGCCGAATCCGCCCGCGGGCCACAGGTTGCCAACCCCTGATCTAGAACAATGGGGGGAAATTTACTTTAAATTGTAATTTGAAAGAACACTTCTATAAGATGCAGTTTCTTTGGTACCTCACACCATATAAATTGGCCAAGAGGAATAAAAATATGAAAAATGTATGTTGGAAATGCAAAAAGGAATCATCACCTTTTATCATATCTGGTGGAGGTGTAGGCATGCAAAGATATATTGGAACAAAATTCTTAAGACAATGAGTAATAATTTAATAATTAACGTGGACGTGGACCCAAAAATGTAGTTATTAAGTATGGTCTTAGGTGAAAAGCTTGAACATAAATACAGTAAATTAATATTTTATATGACAACGGCTACCAGAGTATTATATGCATCCACATGGAAAGATAATATAACTATGAGTGCAAATGACTGGTTAATAAAACTATGCAACTTTATAGAAACAGATAAATTAACATAGCTATTTAAAAACAAAGATCTTTAGAGAATTTCAAGAGAGAATGGGAACCCTTGATAGGTTATCTAAAAAACAAATGGGGGAATAGCTTTGTTATAGGTCTGGAATGAAATAATAAAAAAAGAAAAAGGCAGTAAACTGAATAAATTTTTAGAAATACTGTAGTTTCTTTTTTGGTTTATTATTATGTGGTTAAATCTTTCTTTAGTTATTTTTATGAAGTAGGGACTATACTAATAGATATCAGAAAATCCGCGAAGAAAAGGAAGGACATAATCAAATGTTTTGTCTTTTTATGTTGTTCTTGTTTGTTATTTTAAATGTATAATTTGTCTTTGTTTTAATCATGTAAAAAATTAATAAAGATTATTATTTTAAAAAAAGAAAGTTTTTTTTTCTTGTACATGCTATACTATATATGCTGATTTGAGGTTTTACTCTGAACTGTTTACAACCTCTTCCATGTTTAAGAGATTTTTCTAATTTATATTTACCCTAGGATGATATTTGAAATTGTAATTGTTAAGTGACTCCATGACAGCAATCAGCTTTCAAGATGCAGACATTTTTTAGCTGATGGAGTTTGATATTATATGTATGGCCATCCACAGAGTACATTTGCATAAATATATCTTTCAAATCTGTATTTCCCACAAATAATACTATGTCTAAAACATTGAAGGCAGAATTTTATTGCAACATGGTTAAAGTAACCCCCTGAGCATTTCAGAAAACATTCTCTCTTTTTTTAAAAACCAGAGAAGCAGGTTGTTCTTGTGATACATATTCCCAGCCTATATATTACTTTGTTCCTGAAAAACAAACTAAAGGTTACATAGCAAAACAATATATTTTTGATTTTATTTTTTTCAGGAAAGGGCGGCCGGGAATGAACAGTAATCATGCCATACAAGACAGATCAAGCCACATTTAATGGGAAAGGGCACTGAGATGTCAGTTGCAATAGACATAGTACAGTGTCAGCATAATAATTTCAGTCATCACCACAATAATTTTTTAAAAAGACATTGTGGGTGTTTTTTTAAAAAAAAATAAAAGAAGAAAGAGGAAATGTTACTATTTGGCAAGAAACAAAGAACTGAGTTATGCTAGTTTAAGGTCTTACATTCACCATATAACTGTGTGTATGTTACATTCCTTTTTTTTCTTTTTTACCAATCAAGCCTTCATTACCACCATAACAACTTTTGCAGTTTCCCTCTGGTTCAGAACTCTTTTTTGCCATGCAACATTGCTAAAGTGCCTTCTACTCAAGAAACACAGTCTCAGAGAATTTGTGGGCACACAAGCAACTGAGTAGACATTTATGTGACTCAGGCCAGACATAGGACGTTATCACACGTGGGCCAGAAAGCGATAATAAAGTGGAAATGAGACATTCCGAAAATAAACGGAAAATAAACCTTGATTCCGCAAATGGCTTTCACACGTAATTACCTTAATTGCGAATTTACAGTAAGCGCATTTAATGTTCACACACAAGCGAAAAAAGCCCGTAAATGTACTAGAAATGAGCTTCTTGCACATGCGCAGATAGAGGAATGCTCGCGGAACCATGGGGAAAGCAGGGAAATGCTCCCAAATGCGCATTTGCTTTTCACATTACGGTAAATGCGAAATTACCTTAATTTCGCATTTGCATTTCCTCCAAACAACCGAATTTCAAAAGATCTCGATTAACACCAGTTTCTGTCCAATTTCTGTCCAATTTCTGTGCGACGTCATGTGAAAATGCGGGGCACAAATCCCGTTTCTGTTTGGGATTTGTGTGGATTAACCGGCAGATTTTCCCCCATGTGATAACGTCCATACAGTCATAATAAGCCATTGTATAGTTTGCTGACTTCTGGCTTGTTGTGATATGTGAACTCAAACCGGTGGCTTACTCAGTGATAGATTCATCTCTCATCATAATTGCCCAGCCCTCCAGAATAGGAATAGAAAGCTACTAAAACAAAATCGGTTTCTTTTTTTCTTAAAATATTTATACAGTGTGCCCTTGATATGCAATGGGGTTTGGCTTCAGGACCCCCACTGGATATCAAAATCCATAGATGCCTAAGTTCCATTAAATACAGTGTCTTAGTAAAATTGTGTCCCTTATATAAAATGGCAAAATCAAGGTTTGCTTTTTGGATTATTTTTTTTAAAAAAATCAAGCCATGAATGGTAGACTCCAAAGATAAAGAATTCATAGATATGAGGGGTCAACAGTATCCTGTTGATCTCAGAATGGCATATAATACACTCAGTTAAGGAAAACAAATAACAATAACTCTGAGGGACCCAAAATAAACAATTTATCACTTTAAACCAGACACCTTAAAAACAGTTAAAACAATTTAAGATAATAGTATATGCACAAATTGGATAAAACCCAGTAGGCCTCAAAGATTTTAATAAAAAGCCATATTTTGACTTGGTACCATAATGACACCAGAGTCAGTGCCTCTAAGGAGAAGGTATCAAGGTATCCAATATACTTTAATATGTAACTGTTTGATACTATGAGGTCTTTTAGAAAAGGTATTACTAAGAAAACACAATCCCAAAATAAATTCTAAAATGCTAAAAAGTTTTAGTAGCTGTGATATAAATGGATATTTCTTAAGAACTGAGACTGAACAATGGAATTAATTTAAACGTTACTTAGATCTTGCTGCTTGTGAAGTTGCAACAAGAAGACTGGATGAGGGACTAGCAGGACATCCAGGATAAACTTGGAAGTTATAGTTGCAAAATGACCTTCAGGTCATTTTGGTCCCAATGATGGCAAGTTACTAAGGAAGACCAGGATACACATGCCACCATTGCCATGAATTTATTTTACCCCATGGGAAAGCACATTTCAGTTTCAGTTTACCCATCTGTAAAATGGGTAGAAAAATAGTACCCTCATGCACAGGGTAGTTACAAGGCAATACAGATTCTGAAGATTTTTGGGCACTGGATTGAATCTGTAGATCAGGGGTAGGCAACCTAAGGCCCGGGGGCCAGATGCGCCCCCCGAGGCCTTTGGACCGGCCCCAGGCCGGTCCTGCCGTCGCCACCACCATCACCTGCCCTGATGATATTGATTATTGCTGTTATTACTTGTTCTTGGGTTTTTCTTGGCAAAATCTCCACAGGGGTTTTGCCATGGCTTTTCTGGGGCTGAGAGTGTGCATGCATATTTTTTTTAATTTTTTAAAAAAATTAAATTTTTTATTATTATATTTATTTATTTATTTTTGTTGCTTCGGCCCCCCAATTGTCTGAGGGACAGCAACCCGGCCCCTGGCTCAAAAAGCTTGCCTACCCCTGATGTAGATCATTCTGGAAGCTACCTAAATAACCCTAGTACCACCTAAACATCCTTAGTACCAATGCTGTGTATCTTGCTGGTTAAACATATTTTTAATACTCTAGTTGCACTGTAAATTAAGATTAAAACACATTGAAAACACTGTACTATTGTCAATGTGGAAGCTTTCACTATTCAGGGTCTACATAAAGTGAAGAAAGATAGTACTGTGGTTATAGCTTGACATGCCAATTATAAGACAGTAAATTAGAATGTTTGTGTGCATCTGTCTTTCAGGAACTAGGGAGCGTATACAGCATACTTGCTGCTATTTTAAATGTGGGAAACATTGAATTTTCATCTGTGGTTACTGAGTATATGATTGACAAGAGCATCATTTCCAATCCAACACCTCTTGAGAATTGTGAGTATTCTTTTCTTTTTTCTTTTCTTTTTATAAGATTCAGATGCCTTTGGTGATTGACGGTGCAGCCATAAACATATCTACTTGGAAATAAACTCTACAGAGTTTAGTGGAACTTTTGGGGAAACAGGGATTGCAGCCTGTGAGAGCTAATTATGAATCATGATTTCAATCTGGGCATCATAAAGATCTTAATTCATTGCATATGATGGTCTTCACATTCTGGTTCCAGCATTATTGTAACATTCATATGTTATAAAATTTGCAGATGGGACCCTGATATGGTGAAGTTATATTTCTGTAGGACTGGAGTATTGGTAGCCCCTTTTCCCATG